TAATAGAACCTTACGTGTGAGATTAAATACAAAGATTTGAGTAGTTACCCTTCATATACTTGTTGCAGTGATATTATCAGAATAAGAGTATTTCAATTTCACATAATGGAAATTATCTATTGTGTAATTACCTATTTTCTTTGTCTGGTTAGAAGCTCTTCCCATATGCCACAACTGTCAAAAGTAACATATCTCATTCTTTTCTATTTTTTAAATAAATTTTAATATTTAGGTCATATCTATTCTGAGTTTATTGTGGGATATGCTATAAACTATTGCTCTAAACCAAATTTCTGCCAAAATATAATTCAGTAAAACTAATTTTGTTGTTGAGTAGGTCAGTATTATGTCCACTTTATATACGAGGATGCTGAGGGTGAGAGTAATTTTTTGACATGCTTAAGCTAATAATGTAGCTGGCAGATGCTATAGGACTTGATTCCTTCTCTTTCTGACTCCAAATACAGAACTTTTGAACTACTAAAGTATAGAGGATTACAGTCTGTGTTGATGGAGAGAGTTACCACTGGCAAAACCAATAATATGGGAAGCATTGAAGGAGTATAAGTAATGATTGCTATGAGGTACTGAAAAACCCTCAATATTTATAAGAATATTAATATGTGTTCTGTATCCAGTACAAAGTAAATCAGTAAATGGAAATAATTTTAAGTGATTCTAGTTAAAACACTCCTAATAATGTCTATTTTTTTTTCAAAGAGTTAAAACAATGCATTTTATTGGATCATAGATTTCAAGCTAGAAAGGACCTTAAGTCTTGACTAGATCAACCTCCTCATTTTTTTATTAGGAAACTGAAATCTAGTGAGTTTTAGGTGACTTGGTCAAGGTCACACAAACAGAAAGCTGCAGATCTTATATGAATATCCAGTTTTCAAAAGAGTCTATTTCTCATGGTAACCATTATCACAAAAGAGAGCAAATCATCCTTTAAACAAACAGAAAAATGTATCCTTATACTCAGAGAGAAGGATACAGATTAGAGAAAGATGTTTTAGAACAGACACCTTCAAATTAATTTAATTTCATCTACCAAGTATCCTACAAGTGGGACAGTGGTGGTAAAAGGTTCAAGATTTGGCTATAAGCAGAAACATTTGTATGATGAAACCTGTGTAATTTGGAATTTCCCTCTATGTCAAGATTAGCCTTAACATTGCAGTAATTATTTGTTTTTTCCCCCAGAATATCTGAAAAATCTCCCCTGTGTCAGACATCTCTGGGATAACAAATTAGAAGAAGATAGAGTGACACAGAGGAAACATAAGCAGATATAATTTATTACTTGATAGTGCCAATTTCCACAGTTTTGGGCACACTGACATAGAACCATTCCAATGTGTGTCATTCATTTAAATAATCTCAGCAGTAGATACCATTGCAACATTACAGAAATTAGTCAGAGTCTATGTTTTACTTCAGAAGCAACAAGTCAAAGAATGGCAGTTCTTTTGAGAGTTCAATGCCTGATCAAAATTTTAATTTGGTTTGCTGGATATATATAAAAAAATTTCAAATGAATAACTACTACTATGATTCCCATTTTATTTTTCAAATCTTTAGCTCAATCCTGATTCTGCTGGAGATTTTTTTTTTATTTTTACCTCCAACACTCTTGGTGAGGTACAATATTAATTCTCTTTAAGCGTATTAAATTTCACCAAAAAAGCTGCCCTAAGCCAGTAATTATGATGGAGTCTATTGTAATATGCAAGCAGAGAAGTGATATGACATGATGGAAACCAAATTGTATGTTAGGACATCTTGCCTTTAGCCTTCAATTGTGCCAATAGTTTGTTCTAAACAATTTGGGGCCAATCGTGGAATTTATTCATTCTTCTTTTCATCTGTAAAATAAAAATGCTGTTGATAAAAGAAAGATTTAGAAATGGTTAATGTGTGTTCTTGTTCCAGCTATGAGATCATACTGATTTGTTACAAGAGAAAGCTCTAAGTGTTTTGTTTTAATTATTATTGTTTGCTTGTCTGTTTGTTTTTTGTTGGGGTGAGAGTTGGATAGGGTAAATAGAGATAATGATACTAGATAGGGTAAATAGAGATAATGATACTAGATAAGGGTAGATAGGAAAAAAAGAATATAAATGATTAATTGATAATATTTGTAAAATGTTTAGCCTGGCACGTGCGTGCACACACACACACACACACACACACACACACACACACACATGCACACACATATACATATATATGTGTATGTATATGTATATATGTATATATAAATGTTGTAGGTGCTATATAAATACACAAATAAACTGAAGAGAGAGGAAGGAAGCTCAACAGGGGATACAGACAAACAGAACTAAACTGTATCTACCATGTTAAACTTGAACTAAAAAAAAAACCCTACAGGGTACAGAGTAGAGATGCACAGTTTCATATACAGTCATATTTTTCTATTCTTATTCATATAACATTCATATTTGTTGAGATCATAATATTAAAACAAATAAATGAATAAATATGATTGAACAGACAGGTGAATCTTGGCAAATCTTAACATTACCTCATACAAATCTCTAAGACTATATAAGAAAGTTTGGACCTGCATTGATAGGGAAAAAAAAAATCCTCACTGTTTTTCTATACTCGTAAAATAATCGGTCTGATCTAAAAATAAATGAATAGAATTATTGATTGTAGATAGGTAAATTGGGGGAGGAGGAACAGGAAGGGAGAGAAAGAGAAACACAGAGAGAGAGAGAAAGAGAGAGAGAATAGTATTTGAAAAGAAGTGCATGAATGTTGTGATTCGAACCATGTTCTCCTAATGCTCTGTTTCTTTATAATTAGCTTAGATGGCATCTAGTTCTACTTTAATTTCTGTGACTCACAGCAATCTAGACCACGTAGGTAACTTCATTATATACTGTAAAGAATTACAGAATGTTACAGCAAGAAGAGACCTTAATTATAATCTATTAAACCTTTTAATTTTATACATTTAAATCTACAAATAAATAAATAGATACATAGATGGCTAAATGAATAAATAAAAAGAATGGGCAGCTAGGTGACACAGTGGATAGAACACTGGAATCAGAAAGACCTGAGTTTAAATTTAGTCTCAGATACTCACTAACTGTATGACCCTGGGAAAGTCACTTAATCTCTGTTTGCCTGAGTTTCCTCATCTCTTCCTCCCAAGATTGTTGTGAGGCTCAAACGATGTATTAATTATAAAGTTCTTAGCATAGTGGCTGGTGCATAGTAAGTACTGTATAAATGTTGTTGTTATTATTATAAATGAGGGAAATAGACCTAGACAGATGAAAAGACTTTGCTGAAGTACCCATGGATTCATAATTCATCAGCACAGGTGTTTTTTCTATTGGTGCACATCATAAACCACTTAAGCTTCTTAATAACCCTTTCAAGCATTGTGGCAAAAAATTTCATTTCCCTGAGCCAACCTAGTGAAGATCTTCTCGACATTTGGCTGTGCTTATTCCTAGTCAACAGATGTAAAACCTGTCACCAGATTTGTCAACAGCCCAAGGCAATGTAGATCAATATGATTCTTTCTTCAGGAAAAAATAAGATATTGAACTACGAGAGTTTTTTATTGTCCTTCAGTTTACTTCTATAAAATGATTGGGTTGGCCTAAATTATTTCTAAGGTCCTTTACAACTCTATATTATTATTAGAGATGACAGAGAGCCTGTCTTCAAGGATATTGTGATGTATTCTGGAAGACTTGGATTCAAATGCCTACTTTGACATATACTTGCTCTATGATGTTGGACAAGTCACTTAACCTCACATTGCCCCTAAGAAACTCTCTAAGAGGAAAGGAGGAAGGCAATAAACATCTATATAGCACCTACTATGTGTCAGGCACTGTGCTAAGCATTTTACAAATATTATCTAATTCAATCCTCACATTAAGCCTGCAAGGTAAATGGTGTCATTATCCCAATTTTATAAGTGAGGAAACTGAGACCAAGAGAAGTTAAGTGACTTGCCCAAGATCACAGAGCTACTAAGTGTCAAAGGCCTGATTTAAACTCAGGTACTACATCACTTAGCTGCCTACTATGAGTTACTTTTGTACTGCTGATCTATATTTGTACAGGTGTACTGTAGTCTCTGTGTCTGTTTCTGTCTCTGTCTCTCTCAAGCATAATTAAGTAGAAGTATAATAAATTCACTATGCAATTTGCAAAGCTGTGTTCTTGGCTGTTTTTCCTTCTGACGTTTCCCCTTTGAATTTTGTTGTTGTTCAGTCATATCAGACTCTTTGTGACCCATTTGGGTTTTCTTGGCAAAGATACAAAATTGGTTTGTCATTTCCTTCTCTAGCTCATTTTATAAATGAGAAAATGAGGCAAACAGGGTTAAGTGACTTGCCCAGCATCACACTAGCTAGTGTCTAAGGCTGAATTTGAATTTGGGTCTTCCTGACTCCAAGCCCAGTGCTCTATGCAGTGCACCACCTAGCTATCTCGGTTATTTGAATTAAACAAATAGGGGGTCAGGTAGGTGGTGCAGTGGATAGAGCACCAGCCCTGAAGTCAGGAGGACCTGAATTCAAATCTGACCTCAGACCAAACACTTGAAACTTACTAGCTGTGTGACCCTGGGAAAGTCACTTAACCACAATTGCCAAAAAAAAAACCCACGTAAATGTTTAAATGACCTTCCTTCTTTCCTTCCTTTCTTCTCATCCCCTTTCTCTCTCCTAATTGTCCCTAAAGTCTCTTCTCTAAACCCTCTCTAGAGACATTTAAAACTCCCATCATAATAGAAAAAGTTCCATCCTTCAGTATTGATCCAAGCTGGTCTTTAGTTACTTAGGTCTAAGGCTTTCCAAAATAACTTACAAAATGTAGCATAACATTATGGAGAAGTGTCTCCCGAAATGTGTACTAAAAGGCCTTAAGTTTTAATGATGTACCTGAAAATTTCTGCACAGAAAAATAAGGAAAAACAAACTATAAACTTACGTGCCTGAATTTTTACCACACAAGGTATATGCGTTCAGCTGATGTAAATCATGTGGAATTGGTCAAAACTGTTCATGTAACAGAAAGGTGGCTTCATTTTGGACTAGAGCAGGTAATGGAATGGACCTAAAATATAAATAATGCTTAGTCAGTTGATGCTGGTCTATCTTGGCAAAGCAGATGTGAAATAATCAATATTCACTCTTTTCCAGTGATTTCATGCTGTTTTGTATCATTGCCAATCATAGATAATAGGGTAAAATCAGGAAGCTTAAAAAGACAAGAAAGCAAATATGTCAATGACCAAGATCCTACTAATGATACACATTCCTATACTTACTCAACTGCCAACTCCTAAATACAGAAGAAATAAAATAGGATGCTCACTATCTCTGATTCTGGCTTACTTCTTATAATCTGGATGTGCAATGTGTTACATTATAATTTTTAAAATTTGTCCAGGCAAAAGTATAACTATACTTACAAACAAGGAATAGCAAATTTAGAAGTGAAATAAAGTTTTCTTGAAAAAAAAAATAAGTGAGGAACTAAAATAATCCTCCTAAATACATAACTACATAAATTATTTGTGAAGCATCCTGGAAGGTGAGCTATTCCATCTAATATGGTTCCAAACTATGAAACAATTTGACTGCAAACTATTGTATCATTTTCCCTAAGTAAACTACTTGTAACATTAGATTTGGAGTAAAATTGTATTGAAAAGTATAAAGTGGATTTTTTATCATCCTTTTATTATGTGGTACCATAGGCAGTTGACATTAAAATCTGTATTTAAAATATTTCACCATGAAGTTTCCACTAGTGTCTCATCTAAAGGGGAGGGTTCCAAACATTGCCTTTCAAAGTCCATCTCCCCTCTGATACACACAACGTTTCATTAATGTTTCTAGCAATTTGCAGACATGATCTGAAATAGCCCATATTATTTTAATCTTCATAAGCCAAAAAAAGGATTTTATAATATGAATTCATTTTTTACTTGGAGTCTTGTTCTAAAATAACACAAATCCCAAAGCATCTATTTTGAGGACTAAACAGACACAGCTGATTTTCAACAGATCTGTTTGTTTCTTGGATTGTGGCTTTTTTCCCCTGAGTAGGTGCATTTAACATCAAAACCTACCCTCTTGATTGAGACACTTAAATAATGATTTCATGGCTTTGGTAGATATGAGATATGATTGCTATATTTGATCTATAAACTAACATACTTGCTAAGTGGGAAGCTGAATAGTATACCAACTGTAGCTAAAGAATGAGAAACTATGAGTCAAGATACTGGGAAGTTCCCCCAAAGTAAGAGAGAACTTTGTTCTATTTCTAAGATTCTTTCCCTTCTCTTCCCTTCCCTTCATTCTTTTTTTTCATTCTCTTTTTATTACCATAGGCTGTTCACAGCAATAGAGTTAATTAAACAATTACACTATGTCATATGATACTGATTCCTTTACAAATGCAAAAGCAGATATAAATGGTGTTGCATAATATATACCTCTAAGTTGCTGTATCAAGTTATAGAGAAAAGATTCTTTTCCACCAGATTCATTGTCCTTGAAAACTCCTGATAACCATCAATATGAAAGGCCTTAATCAGGGAAGGGTTGTATTTCACTGCTTTTTGGAAAGAACAGAAAGTGCCAGTCTTTCATATTATGCAGTGAAAATAAACACTGAAAATGTGTGGCTCCAGGTTTTACAAAATTAAGTAGCCTGTAAAAGGCAAATGTTTTGTTAGACAGGCAGTGCTGTGTAGTGGTCAGAGTGAAGAACTTGGAATTAGAAAAGGTGGGTTCAAATCTTTCCTTGTACAAGAGACAGAGAGAGACAGACATAGAAAGAAAGACAGAAAGAGACAGAGAAACAGAGAGACAGAAAGAGACAGAGACAGAGACAAAGAAAGAGAGAGAGAGAGAGATTATTTCCTCTAACTGTGTGATCCTCACCACCACCCCTCCCTACCCCCACCCCAGGGTTCTCTCCTCAACCTCTTTCTCTCTACTTACTCTCTTACTGCATGATCTCATTAGCTCCCATGAATTTCATTATCGTGTATATGCAGATGAGTCACAGGACTATATAATCAGCCCCAATCTCTTACCTGAGAGCCAGTCCTGAATTACCTTGCCACAGAGCCATATCAGGCTTAATATTAGACCACATTATCTCTACCCCACCCAAACTCATAGCATTTTTGAAGCACCCTGTTTCAGACAGCACCCTTCAGTTAAGCAAGTTTTGTACCTCAATGTAATCCTTGACTCTTCAATTTTTTTAATAATACATTATCTTGTTGATTCTTGCTCCCATAATATATCTTACCTTGACCTCTTTCTGTCTACTCAAAAGACCACCAGTCTAGTTTGGGCCCTTATCTCTTACTTGAACTATTTAAATAACCTCAATTTTTTTTCTCCTTGCCTCATTTGTTCCCCCAAGTCTTTCCCCTCTGCAATCTATCTTCTATACAGCTGGTAAAATTATTTTCTTCCCTAAATTACTAGTGTGACTGTCACTTTTCTCTATAAAATCCAATATTTCTCTTTTATTTCAAGGAACAGACATTGTGACTGGTCTATGACCTACCTTTCCAGCCTTATCATAACTAATTCCCCTTCATGCATTTTATGGTCTAATTAAATTATCATTTTTTACTGTCCATCACATATAACATCTCCTACCTGCAAGCCTACAATTCAATCCATCCTTATACCCACCTCTTGAAATCCCAAGTTCCCTTCAAAGCTCGACTTAAGTAGCCCTCTCTATATGAAACTGCCTCAGCTCCAGGTAATAGTCACTGAATAAGAGATTTCTTTGATTTCAGGCCTCCTGCATGGCTCCTCGTGTGGACTGCCAGGGAGCCTTTCTCCAATCTCACTTTTGATTAGCAACTATCTACCAGGTTGTGTGATCACCTCCTGCCACTCCCAACAAGATATCAGAGATAGTGCCAGCTTCAGTCCAGTCTCCCGGAGAGCCAGAGAGCATGCTAAGCATCTGCCACATCCCTCTCCTCTTTATCCTGTAACCTAAAGTAACATACATATAACTTGGGACAAGTAACCGTTTTGATAAGCTCTCATTTTTTACAGCATCAGTGATATGTATGTGCTTCTTACTGACATGAGGCCAACTCCAATGACCTTAACCAAATGAAACTGGATTGAGTGGCTTCCCTTACTTTTACTTGGTTCTGTTATTTGATTACCAGACTTCATGCCATGTACATGTTTTTCAGTGATTATTTTCTTTAGTTGTGTCTTTGATTCTGTGGTTTTAATAGAATATATCTTACTCCAAGGAAATTTGTAAAAGTCATAGCTCTTAAAGAACATGGTCCAATAATTGTTAGAATACTGTAGCAGTTACTATTGTGGGGAAGTCAAGTGTTTCAAAGATTGTTCAAACCCCAAATTAAATAGGATCAGTCTTCTAAACTGCAAAGAAAAGTGCTACCTAAAATTAAAAACAACTCAAAGAACTACAAAACTATTATTACAAAATGCCATAATTAATTCTCAGAAAGGAGGTAGCTAGGTGGCACAGTGGATAAAGTGCCAGGCCTGGAGTCAGGAAGACTCATCTTCCCGAGTTCAAATCTGGGCTCAGACATTTACTAGCTGTGTGACTTTGGGCAAATCACTTCACCCTGTTTGCCTTAGTTTCTTCATCTGTAAAATGAGCTAGAGAAGTAAATGGTGAGCCACTCCAGTATCTTTACCAAGAAAACCCCAAATGTGGTTATGAAGAGTTGGACATGACTAAAACAACTGAATAATTACAACAATCCTCAGAAAACAAGAACATAAGAGGGACCTGAAATCTGGAGTATTTGTTGCTGATTCCTCTACAGTATCTTAGAGGTTTCTTGAAGTTGGAAGAATAATAAGATGACCAGGGGGATTAAAAAAACAAAAACAAAATATACTGAACATTGCTGTGAAGAAAAAAAAAACCTCTTATCATGGATATTGTCTTACTGGAACTGTAACGATTGCAAAAGGGTCATTTTTGTTGATGATATTCAGTTTTCATTCAAGGCTATGCCAAAATCATTGCCAAAAGAAGTCCAGGTGAAACCTGTATTATCTGAGCATTTTTATAGGACTCCAACACATGTATCTCAAAATGTTTCAGGGATTTTTTTTTCCATTTCCACTGGGATTGGAAGTCTTGTCTTCATTAAGGGAATAATGAACTCTCACAAATATGGTACTATCACTCTGAGATTACAGAGATTCCCAAATGGAGATGGAATACTGCATTATGAAATTTTACCAGGCCACATGTTACAGAATATTAAGAAATATATTCAAGAGAAGGAGGTAAATATATTTTAGTGCTCTAGATACTCACCTGATTTAAACCTTATCATAAAGCAATAAGCTAGATAATAAAAACTAGACTTGGAAAAATGAATAATTTGTCTAAATACAATTAATTATCCAAAGTGATAAAAAAGTGTGGTTTCATCATGAATCAAGTGTGTCAAAATCATGTGAATTCAATGCCAAATAATATAAAATAGGTTATTAAGCAAAAGTGAATGTTTCATGATATTTTTAACTAAAAGGGTTATAATATTTATTATGCACATCAAAAATTTAATTATTTTACTTTGTTTCACTTAATTTGCCTGTTTCTGCATTGGAAGTTTGCTTTTTCTCTTGCTGTAATTCTAAAAGAGTAGGACTGAGACCCCACTGGCCTTAGGCCTCATTTAGCAGAGATCAAGAGTCTAGGAAAACTCTTAACTAGTCCCCATGCTTCTGGCCTTCTTGTGGAGCCCTGGACTAAACTCTATGGATGGTTCTTTCTGGGTGTTTTGGTCATTGCTTCATCTGGTATTCTTTTAAAAAAAATTATTTTAGTATATCATGGAGTATCTAGACGACTATAATGTTCCGTGTGTCCATCTTTACCAAAAGATTCAACAAGTTTTTCACAATCCCACTGTATGGCCATCTTTCCATTCACATTTCTGAGTTTCAGGGTACATGTTCCCTGGATTTGGAAAATTTCATGTCTTCCATATAACTTTTTACTTCTTCGCCATAGGAGACAAATTTTAGCACAAATACTGCAATTATCTTCATGACATT